TGGCTTTGGTCATTTAAGATGTAATTAACTATAGGGGCTTGCCCTTATAGGAAGCATGTCCGAACCCAGCTTAATATAAACCCTATTTAATCCTTTATATTAAATAGGGGAACTTGTCGGCAAATACAATGGTTTCGCAAACCAAACAGATGTCATACTTTCCTTAGTTTATTTGAACGAGCCTCATCCTCAATTCTTGTGTTTATCTATCGGGATAGATACAGGTTTTGAGGTATAATGCTCTTTCATTTTAAACTATGAAAAATATGGAGTCAGTTTGATTTCATATTTCAACGTTTTTCTGAAGCGGGCGACATTATTTCAATTCCGGTGACCGACAGCTTCTTACGGGGAACCCCACAAACCAACCCGAAATAACGCCGACACACATCAAACAGATAATACATTTAAACAGATGTATACAAAAAATAACAATGTATCAAACAACTTATTCCTGTAAGATAAACCTACACAAAATAACAATATATCAAACAAATAATACATTTATTCTCCAAATAATATATATCTTCAAATTTCATATACTATCTCTGCCCTAAACCGAGGCATCTCAGCCTGCCAGTCTTGAAAATCTTTCCAGTTATTCTTGCCTTTCTGCACAAGTGTCTTCATATATTTACAAACAAATATACCGTAGTCGACGCTATTAGTTTGTGTGGAAATTCCTCTAGCCGTGCTAACATCCCATTTACTCGGGTCACTGTGGAAAGCATTCCCGGCGTCCTTATGAAGATGCCTTATCTGGTAATACAAATGATTGTTAAAAATAGTGAAACAATAAATATGAATGTAACGGTTGTTAGTTAGATGAGGTTTAGAATTTTACCACGTCACGTGTGACTCCCAAATGCATTTTATTAGGCAATGAGTTGTAGAATCTCCACTTGCGGTCCTTCTGGTTCCCAACAAGTAGAGTCCAATGCCTATTATTAACAATTGGAATTAAAATTGCCTCTACCTGAGCTACAGCTTCCACTATGATGTGGACAACAATATCTCGTAGAGGATGGTCTCTAAACCCCTGCATATACATAATAAAAGAGTTTAAAAAGAGCATGAACCTATTGCATATACAAAATTAATGGGAATTTTATTACTTACCCAATGCGCCAGAGATAAGTACAAATAGGGTCTAAAAGAATTAGGGGGCTGACGCCGATGGTTTTCTAATCCAATGGCAAATAAATCTACATGATCCACGCCGATTTCTTTATTATCCCAAAGTGCTTCCAGGTCAATTTGACTAATATGAATGTGACCCTGGGCAATTATTAAGTCATCCCTGCAAATTGATTGAACAATATTTATTAGATTTAATAAATAATTGACAGAAAAAATGTTCTATTTTGTACATACCTTTCTTTGTACATTCTTAAACAGCTATCGATCACCTGTTGAATGTTTGATGGTAGTAGTTCTCTGTCGGGGAACTCTATGGCTGAAGAAGGGAGGACACTTTCATATGGAACAGTTGCGCCCGACTGTACCTCCTCCCAAGCTTCTCCTGTCTCCTTTTCCCTAGCTTCATCGAGTCGTGGAGATGGTATGGTAATCGGCGTGGAAGACTCATAAATATGCTGTACTATATCATCTATATTTGAGGACGGAACTTCTACCAGCTTCTTTCTCTTTACAACAATAAATGGAGAACTAACCACCCTCTTTTTCCTTGGTCCTCTGGACTTGACCCTTCGGACTAAGCTACCAATTAGGTCTTTAGGGATGCCTTCTCCAGGTTCCCCGACACCTTTATCAGATTCACTATCAGGTGCATCGTCATCAAAGGTAGTCATTCTACCTATCAACTATTTTGCTTCAAGAATATCGGGTCCCCACTCTTGTTCCGACGCTTGCTCAATATGTGCAGGTGGTTCTTCTTCCTTTTCTGGGCTATATTTCTTCCCAGTAAATTCAGAACCTATAGGAGATTCCATGGGAACTTTATTTATTTTTCTCTTTATTTCATTGATGTCGGTCTTCACCTCCATCAGTGTATACTCCAAAAAAAATCTTAGGTTATTTACTGAATCCTTCAATTGAACTAAAATTTGTTGTTGCTCCCTCAGAGTTTACCATATCTCTTCTAAACCCAAATGTGATTGTGTGGGTGGCGGGATGCTGCAAGTATGTATAAAAGGAATATCACCATGAGACTCTGGTGTTGTTTGGTGAGTGTGAATTTGTGGTTCTCCGATTAACTTTGCAGGAGACGAGAGTGGGACAGTTAGAGGGGCAAGTAAACTATGCTCCTCGTCTATTACATCAACAAAAGAATCAAGAATCTGCAAAAAACATTCATCATAAGAATTAAATAAGTTGGCAAAATACTAAACATAATCTTGAACTTAAAACATACATTAATATCATTCACCTGTACAGGACTAAGCTGCCTAAAGATTAAATGGATCTTCGAGGGTTCCACCCTGTATTTATTGGCAACCTCAACATACGAGGTCTGACGTCAGGATGAGCCGGGGCTATCACAAGTGTGCGCTCATAAAACCACAGCTGCATAAAAACAATTAATAAATCAGAAATTAATATAACCCAAATAAAATGAGAAAAGTCTTTTTGATTGAGGTTGAGCAACATACTAACCGTTAGAAGAAAAACAAAGTCGTTCATGTATCCCAATGGCTGACCCATCCTTATTTTCATCGCGCAAGCATTTACCTGCTCAATTAGGTGGTCACATACTATTGCGGCCCAATTAAATGAATAAAAACTATCTACATTCTCAGCAAATGAATAGAGCCCAGTGGGTACACTAAAATTGCTGGAAGGAAATAATAAATTAGACAACAAAAATTTAATAAGTTTATCAAGACTAGCAGATGACCTCTCCAATAGTTCATTCTTTGCCCGCCTTGCATCTACGTCATTGACGAGTTTTTTAGCCCAAGTTGCAGCCCAATAGCCCAAGTTGCTGTAGGACCTCTGTTGGGCATGCCAATCAACAAAGCAACTTGGTCTGCATCAAAACTTAGCTCTTTCCCCCCCAACCTGAAAGCCATTATATTCATATCCCAACAATTCAATATGTGCATAGTTAGGATGTGATCTTGAGGATAGGGGGCAGATCAAAAAACTGATAAAGCTTCATTCTTTCCAGAGTTGACCACATCTCCCGATCAACAATTGGCCGAACCTTATCCAACACCTCTCTAACTGTTGATGGTCGGCATCTATAATTCATTGACTGTTTATTCATCAACCTATAGGAATAAGATGCATGTTTTTTTTTAAAGGAGACAATAGCTCCTACTTCATTAAATAGAAAAAGGTGGGTACAAGAGGAGGGAGCATAAAAGTCCCTTCCCAAACACTTTAAACAGAAAAACTCTAATGAAAGGAAGAGCAATAGTGTCTCCTTTCAATAATAACTCTAATTGGGGGGTAGTAGAAGTACCTACCCCAGGGAGCTCAGAATGAAGGCCAACCTTAGCTAGCCAATTGGCAGGCCTATTTCTTTCTCTCAATATATGGGAGTATGAGGATCTAAACCTTCTCCCAAGGAGTGAATCATATCAATCCACTGCAACAGGTACCAAGGAGTAGGTAACCTCCCTTCAATAATATCAATAAGAACCTTGGATTCAGATTCTAAGATAAGTGAGGTGAAACCACACTTTTGGGCCATAAACATTGCCCAATAAATAGCCACTATTTCAGCCTCCAGAGGGTCCTTAGCAATAACAGGAGAATGAAAGTAGAGTAAACACTTTCCATTATTATTTCTGAACACCCCTCCAATACCAGCATAAGGATTAGAAAAGCTACTATCTGTGTTAACTTTAATTCCCCCTTTTGGTGGAGGATCCCAATGGATGAGTGCAAACTTGATTTTTTTGGGAAGACTATGGGATGTACTGTGAAGGATATCAGGGAGCTTCCCATGGCAATATAATTTCTGCAGGTAGCTGATGTAGTTGGTAGCAATGGTAGCAGCTTCCACCCAGATGTCTTCATATTTAATCTTGTTCCTAGCCATCCATATAAACCAAGCAGTGATACAAGGAATTGGGGGTAAGTCTTGGTCCTGCCAATCCTTCCAGCTAAGGGAGAAATCATTCCAGGATAATTGAACAGTTTCTAACTTCAGTTTGGGAATTAAAAAGTTCCAAACCTTTTTAACTGTGGAACATTGGAAAAATAAGTGATTAATGGTTTCCTCAAGTGATTTACAAAACCCACATCTAGAAGGACCTCTCAAACCTTTTAACTTCAGTATATCATCTGTGGGCAGAAAGCCATGGAGTAATCTCTAAGAGAAAAATGACATTGAAGGGGATAGGAATTTATTCCACACACAATTACTCCAACTGACTCTATGTTGAGGAAAACAGAAGTTAGCAACTGCTGCAGATAAAGACTGGGACACCTTCTTTTTCACAATCAGGATA